TTAAATATGTTATTAGTTAGTTCGTGTGTTGTGCTGTTGTACTGTTTTTCCCACAATGCCACAGTTTCAGAACATAGACACACTTCTGTTTAAAGCAGTTCCTTAAACTTTTTTAAACTGTCTGGTTCCCTGTTACAGAGAACCACAGTGAAACCGTGACCTCTGGGTTCTGCTCCACATGCAGGAAAAGTTTGTTGTCGCCCACCTGTCACTCAAAGAGGCCACACCCCCAATCCTCCATAACTGTAGTCTTTAATAAGATGTAAACAGGTGAGTCATATAAACAGGTGTCAAGAAGGAGGAAATTATCTCTAGTATTTTTGTACCAGGCTGTAAACATGTTTATTTCTGCTGTAAAGTTGGACATTTTAACATGGGAGTCTATGGGGACTGACTCACTGTTGGAGCCAGACTCTAGTGGTCATTAGAGGAACTGCAGCTTCTTGTTCTTCATGTTTCCGCCTCAGAGGTTGATGCTTTGCTAAAAGTCATGGGGGAGTGAGTGTCTGTGGTTAGTTCACATGTCTTTAATAACAGTGGGACATTAGAGTGTTGGTGTTTAGTCACAGCAGGACAGTCCAGTGTCAGATTCAGATTATTTAAATCAAGTAAATTCATATGATCTCAAAACAACAAATGACGGAGCAGAGCAGTTAATTAACTGATAGTTAAAATACATATTTATGATTCTAGAAGTCACTTCATCCATCTGATCAATATCAGACTGATGATCGAACTGTGAGACATGTATTGATCAAATCATTCACACCCCAAAACCATCTCCTCCTTCCTGTCAAGTGATAAACCAGAAGACCATTAACTGTGAGTCACCCTCTGTGTGTGTGTGTGTGTGTGTGTGTGTGTGTGTGTGCGTGCGTGCGTGCGTGCGTGCGTGTGTGTGTGTGTGTGTGTGTCTGTGTGTGTGTGGGTACTGGGTAATCTCATTACCTGGTGGTCTCCGCCCCTGTGACTGGTGGCTCTCACAGTATATAATTATACTAACACACACACATTACTACACTATGACTCAACCTGACCGCCCCCTCAACTCTGCTTTGTGTGTGTGTGTGTGTGTGTGTGTGTGTGTGTGTGTTACCCCCATGTAATGTTTAAGGGTTAAGGTTAAGGTCAGGTTAGGTAAGTAGTGGTTATAGTTAGTGTAAGTCTCCAGGACATTGATATAAGTCAATGAACACAGACACACACACACACACACACACACACACACACACACACACACACACACACTTCACTCTTGTTTTTCCTGTTTTAACTCCAAAGACAAACAGTCTGTTAGTGACAGTCTGCCCCCTACAGGCCGCAGCGTCTGGTACAACCACAACATCTGAACATCTCAGAGAGAGATCATTTTACTAAATATTACACAGCGCCTGGTTTGAAGTCAAGGTGTTTCTGCACACTGGACAGGTGTGGACAGGTGTGGACAGATGTGGACAGATGTGGACAGGTGTGGAAAGATGTGGACAGAAACTGAGTTTTCCTTCAGTCTGCAGAAGCACAGAGTTCAGTGTTTAACAGACTGACTGCTGCAGGAAGGAGATTATTTCATTAGAGCAGATAAATAACTGGGCAGGAGCATCATTAAAAACTCATCAGCAATCTGTGTGTGTGTGTGTGTGTGTGTGTGTGTGTGTGTGTGTGTGTGTGTGTGTGTGTGTGCTCAGTAATGCACTTTCACTTATCAGCCAAACAGATGTGACTATTGTGCTCCATTAATGAGGGTTTGGAGGAATAATTACAGCACAATGAGAGTGTTTCTGTGTTTTTACTTTCCCATCTATTAAAGTTGAGCTGAGACACAGAGAGCAGCTCCACTGTTTAACCATCCAGGAATAATATGAACTATCTTAACACTTTCAAACTAGGGAATATATATTGTAGTATTCAAGGTTCCCAGGCGTCCTGGAAAACCTGGAAAAGAGTTTTTCCGTCATGGAAAACACGTGGAAAATGAGAGAAAAAGTAAAATGTCTTGGAAAATTATTTCAATATTCTCCTATTTTGGGTCAAAGTTATGTTCAGGATCATGTTGATGTTTAAACAATAGGCTAGTTTATGGACGGTTTTGTTTGTGAACGCAGCTTGAAGACACTCACCTGCTGCAGGTTGGATGATTTACAACTGAAGAATGTGAGTTACATGATCCTTTAAATGTCCGTGAGTCACTGTTGCTGCTGAATGTGATAGTTTTTATTAGGTTCATAGATGAACGTGTTGAATAATGAGTCAGTATGTTAGCCTCAGTTTCTTGCTAGCTTGTTTAGCCTGTAGCTAAAGGTCTCAGGTTTCTGATTCAGGTTTCAAATGTGTGTTGGGTCATTGCTGAGAGTTGATAATAATAAAGTGAATGGCAGCCTAACTGTGTGTTAGCCAAACACTGGCTAAATACTTGCTAACAGCTGTTTTTACCTTGTTAGCATCTTTGTTAGCTCACTTCAAAGCCAATGCTCTAACTGTAAATGTGGTAGTTTTTTTAAAAAAAAAAATAAAGGCTTAGAATGGCTGAATTTAGATTTATTTCAATTTTGCTAAGATGATAACCAAATTAGTATAAATAATTCTTTAAGTTTATTAATATTGTTGTGAAAGATACCATAACAGTATAATATATCATGCCCCCCCCCCCACACACACACACACACACAAAACAATAGTCCGGGGGGTTTGCAGCATCTATATATTTTTCTTACCTGTAATTATAACCATTACAATATATTGCCAATATTCATGCTTGGAAGAATATTGTGATACGATTTCAGACACCCCTAAAGTGGACCGTACCATTTCCTAACCCAGACGTTTCGTCTTGTTTATGTCGCATCAGTGGCTCGCGCTGCGTCTCTGGCATGTTCTGCTCCCGCGTGAAAATCACGGTAAATATAAGTGTCAGTATCAAACTATGAAGTTGGTTTAATACACTTCACTGTCTTAGCCACAGTTTCTGAATCAGATTGTGTGAAGTATCTAAAGATTAAAAGTGACGCCGTCTTGTTTCTAACTTTAGCTTCGAGTTACAGTTTAGCTAACTAATGTTAGCTAGCTGAGAGCGCCCATTCAGTCCCAGTGTTAGCTGGTCATTTCATTACCAACATCTAATGTTAGCAAACATTGGTGCCCAGTCAGGAGCAGTGGGACAGTGAGGGATTAGTTGTTGTAGAGAAATGTTTTGACATAAATATATAGACACACACACACACACATATATATATATATATATATATATATATATATATGTGTGTGTGTGTGTGTGTCGATATATTATATGTAGATATATATAATATACAGTTTATTATTCATGTTAATAGTCTTGTGTGTCTGTGGTGGTTTATTTAGTCTTTTACCTTTTTGCTTTTAGGTTTTGAAGAAACAGCCTCTTTGTTTTCACTGAGGAGTTTTATCTGGTTTGGTGATTGAACAATATTAAAATACACATGTGATGAAGGCTCAGTAATTGTATCAGCAGTGGTGGAAAGTAATTAAGTACATTTCTGCTTTTTTGGCTTCTTACAAAAAGCAGTGTTTGACTGGGGTCACATGTCAGATGTCTGAGTTGTTCACAGTCCAACAAATAGTGATTTTTCCCTCTAAACTTCTCACATGGTTTAATTTCCATAAATGTTGAAATGATCAAATATCTCACCAAATATTAAACATTAGAGGACAAGTGTAAAAACTTAAAACAGATTTGTGAACCAGACGTTTGTTTTATCTTCTTTCCTGTCTGATGAATCATGTGACGACCCCTCAGATTTACCTGCTGACACGGTCTGTTGTTGTTTGTCTGTGGGTCTGATGTTCTGGCAGTTTTGCTCTTGAATACTTTGTCGGTGAGTCTTGACTATAAAAGTTGTGTGGTTCATGCTTCATGAGCTGCTGTTATATGATTCATCATCATCTACAGACTGTAGACATTAAGTGAAACAAGCATTGTACTGTAAGGATTGTAGGACTTCAGTTCACTGAAGCACACGTCTGCACTGTACTGGGTCCTAGTAACATCACTTTAAAACAACAAATGTATGTTCTGGTTATTATTTCTTAAGGTAGTAGTTAGGCAGACCTCACCTACTGGAGTTACCTTCAGGTCAATTGTTGGTGAGCAACTGGTCTTTCTGTTCCTCCTTGAGACACCTGCAGAAAATAAGAGACTAGTAGACGAGAGAAGGTAGAAGTGACCTGAATTTATCATGAATCAAAAATAACACACAGGGAAACTAGCTTCTAATATGAACCTTTTTCAAAATAAAAGCTCAGTTCTATCTGAAGTCAAACTGAAGAAACATATTTGAGAATTTACAGTTTATTTGGCCAAAGAAAGACTGAAACCTCAGTGTGTTTCTGCTCTGACGGATGAAGCTGCAGGAAAAATGTCTGAACTGTTAATGTGGTGACTTGGTGTTTGACAGACGCTGTGTTTCAGTCAGTGGACTGAGTAAAGTGAACAGAGCGGCTGCGTGTCTCACAGGGATTACTGCAGATTTACCTCCACACAGCGTTCGCTTGGTGAGGGATGATGGAGGGATGATGGACGGGTGGATGATGTTTGCGCAGCAGACGAAGGATTTAGCTTTTTATTTTCATGTTTTCACTCAGATTATGTCTTTTTTTTCTCTACCTGTTAATGATGACAAGCTGGTTCAGTCCCACAGAGTCTGAGTGTCTTTAGAGTAAATCCCTGAGGCCTAAATCTGCTCCTCCATCACAGCATGAACACACAGGCACATTAAACAGGAACATGCTGATTAAATGTTGAACAGGCTCAATGTCGCTTGTCCAGGAAAATATAATATTCATGAGTCAGAGCTGTGATGTCACACAGACAATAGAACAACACGTAGCAACAGTAACCAACGGTAACAGGTTCACGTCCAGAGACGTCTCTTCATCTGTGCTTGAACTGGTTCTTGCATGAAACCAGATCTCCTGACTCCTTCATGAATGTTAGTGACCCCCTCGCCTCCTTGTCTCCTCCTCTGTAGGAGATGTGGTGGACATCTACCAGAGGGAGTTCCTGGCGCTGAGGGAGCGCCTCCACTCGGCGGAGCAGGAGAACCTGCGGCGCTCCAAAGAGCTGAACCTGGTCCTGGAGGAGATCAAGAGGGCCATTGCTGAGAAACAGGCGCTCAGAGACATCAACCGCACCTGGAGCAGCCTCTCAGGTGTGTCCTCTGTTTCTGTCCCAGGTTGGTCCAAAATGATCTGGTCCAGTCCAGTAAAGTAGTGTAGACTCCGTTCAGCCTGGTCTAATCTGGTCTATCGTGGTCGAACCTGCTCATGATGTGTTCAGAGGAGACAAGGTTGAATTCAACCTGGTCCAACCTAATCTAGTATAACCAGGTCTAATGGGATGTCACTTGGTCTAACCTGGTTTCACCTGGTTTGAATTGGTTTTAACTGACCCAGTATAGCATAAACATGTCTACACTGAACTTACCTGGTTTAACCCGGTTTTACCTGTTCTTACTTTCTTCTACTCACTACTCATCTAATCTAGCCTGGCCTCCCCTGGTTTAACGTAGCATCACCTGGTCTAACAGTAGTTTATCTGGTCTGACCCGGTCTGACCCGGTCTGACCTGATCTCTGTTTTCAGAGGAGACGAGGCTGAAGTTGTGGAATGTGAGCAGCAGTAAAAACGTCCTGCAGCTTCCCTCCATCTTCCATCATCTTCCTCACCTACTGAACAGAGAGGACAGTCTGCAGCCCGCCGTGCACCTGGGACAGGGACGCACCGGAGGTAAAATTAAACACACACCTGGGTGTTCAAAAAAAAAAAAATTAAGATTATTAAAGTGATTAAATTTCTTAAAAACCGAGAGACGTTAAAAAAAGAAAAGTGAGGTTCGAAGGCGTCAGTCTGCATCAGATCAACCTGCACAAACACTGACGGCCTGGGGCTCCTGTCTCAACCAGTAGCCCAGACGCAGTGCACCTTCCCTGGGGTAACAGCTTACCGAGGTCCCCCTGATACACCCAACATCCCCTGAAGAGAAACACAAACCTCTGTGTGTGTGTGTGTGTGTGTGTGTGTGTGGAGCTAATTTCATTTCATGCCAAAACTTACACAAATAAACCATGTTTTACAAATGTCCCATGAAACACAGTGTGGTTCGCAGATACAAAACAACATGAACAAAGTATGTACCTATCAAACAAAAATACAACATATTTCTCACACATTGTGTTTCAGAAACAAACACGCAGAGAATCGGTGACAAAATCTAAAGAAGTGATATTTCATTTTCTTTGTAGGAATATTTTTGTAACTATATTTTTGTTTCTGAAGTTTGATTAATATTAGAATATGTTGTGCTTTGGTTTGATTGGTACTTTTTTACAGATGGCGACTAATCTTTCACAAACATTCTTGAAATAAGAGGAAACTGTGGTTTTGTAAGGGAATATTTTTAACGGTGTTTTCTTTTTTTTCAATTGGACAAAAAACCTGACCTAAATAACCAGCAGACAAAACATTAAGCACAGATCAGACATCAGACACTAAGTCACACATTAAAAAAACAAATAACATCACAAAATCAATCAGGCCTGACAACCTAAATAAAATATTAAAGAAGAACTAAATAAGAAACTAAAACAAAACAAAGACAAAATAAATGAAATTCTCCATTACATAATAAATTAAAAAAATGATTTGATTTTCAAAAAAAACAAAATAAAAATTTTCTCAACACAATCACAACCAGCGCTCTACTTCAATAACCTGTCCCATTTTCATCCTTTCAAAATAAAGTAATGTTTCATAAACATTCTAAATTGATTAAAATTCAATTATAATATTCAATATTTTGTATTTGCAAAACAGAATGTAATGGTTTGTTCATGTAGTTCTACAACTGTGTTTCATGGGACATTTGTAAAAGATGGTTTATTAGTTTAAGTTTTGGCATGAAATTATCTCCATGGACGAAGCCTGCGGTTCACAGAGGGAGAACAAATACATCAGTGTGTGTGTGTGTGTGTGTGTGTGTGTGTGTGTGTGTGTGTGTGTGTGTGTGTGTGTGTGTATGCAGTCAAATATATTTATGATGCACTTTCAGTAAAACAGGTTATTCGTGGACAGAAAGAGCTTTATGTTGCAGCAAAAGACAGAGATAACAACCAAGAAGAGAAACACAGCAAGAGATGTATATTTATCTCTGTGTGTGTGTGTGTGTGTGTGTGTGTGTGTGTGTGTGTGTGTGTTCTTGTGACAAATGTGATTTATATGTAAAACCTTTAACACAAAACAGGCTCAGAACAAAGTGTTTTGTTTTTTTTCCGGAGCATCAAGGAGAGAAAAACAAGTTAAATTGAGACACAGAGGCTTTTAAATTTACAGAGTTAAGACCCCAGGGTGTGTGTGTGTGTGTGTGTGTGGGTGTTTGCGCGTGCGTGCGTGTATTTGTCATGCATTTATATCCCTTTCATCAGCCCACTTTGACGTCTGACTTGTTTTTATATTCCTAGCCTGGTTGAGCCTCATTTATCCTGGTCCAGTTTGGTTCAGTTTATGGAAGCTGGTTTATCGTAAACTGTGAAATAAAAGGCGCCATTAAAACAGCATTAACAAACAAGAGGAAAGTGGAGGCATTATTACGCCCTTTGAGCTACAGGAAGGCTTTTAATTTGAAACATCTATGCAGGAAGTATTGAGTTGACCTGACGTTAGCTTAACCACCAAATGGAAAGTGTGTTTCGTGGGAGCCGTGTACCCTGAACTACCCGTCCACTCTGTGTATAAGTTTTTCACTTTCCCAGCCACATTATGGAGCCTATTAACAACTCGTCGGCTCTGTCTACTTCCTGAAAATGTGTCACATTCCCAGTCATATTTGAAGCCTATTAAACTACCCGTCGGCTCTGTGTATTTCCTGGGAACAATTCCTGTGGCCATTGATGCACCAACTTGTTTCAAGTATTTGCTGTACATTTCAAACTCTGCGGTCCTTTAAACCTCCCCACTGGATGCGTCTATGTGCTGGAGACACTGCACACTCCCAGATTCTTTTTAATTAACCATCGGCTCTGTGTATTTGCTGCAAATGTTTTACATTCCGAGGTCTTTTTGGGAAGATGCAAGACTCCCACTCTGCCTGTACTGTCTCCGGGCTCTGTGTATTTGCTGGGTATTTCCAGTGAACATGCTAAAATCGTTCCAGTGCATCAGTGTATAATCAGGCTGCTGACCTTTGACCTCCTCACTGTGCTTTGCTTGTCATGTGGTTGATGCCTCCTGTCGAGTGTCTCTGAATGTTCATCTGTTGTTTTCTGACTCTGAGCTCCGTCACTCTTCTTCTGCTGCCTCTGCAGCTTCTCCTCCGTCCGGAGCACGCCGCCTCAAACTCACTTTTGTTCTGTGTGTGTGTGTGTGCGCGTGTGTGTGCATGCGCAGTCTCCATAGTGATGGGGGTCCCCAGTGTGAAGAGGGAGGTCCACTCCTACCTGACCGACACACTCAGCTCCCTCATGTCGGAGCTCAGCGCCGCCGAGAAGGACGACTGCGTCATCGTCGTCCTCATCGCCGAGGTCAGTGTGTGTGTGTGTTTGTTTGTGTGTGTGTGTGTGTGGACAACCGTCAGTGTGAGTGTGCGTTGATGCGTGTGTTTCCTCGCTTTCTAAAGGTCACTGGTTTAACTAATGAACCCCGGCAGAGACACACACACACACACACACACACACACACACACACACACAGTGGTAATGTCATTGACTCTGGGTTTAGCTCGCGTGCTAACGCTGCAGGGAGGTGGGACAGTGATGACGTGTGGTGAAATGTTTGAGATGTGAAATTATAAAGTATAGAGTGTATGCTCATTTACATCACATCTGTGAGTGTGAGTGTGTGTGTGTGTGTGTGTGTGAGTGTGTGAGACAGTGATGAAGGTCACAGCCGTCTCATATTGTGACGACAGCGTCTCGTCTGATATTCAAACTCTGAACCTTTATTTCACTCTGAGTACGTGAATCTTTACAAGCAGCAGGTTCATGTTCACACTGTGAACACACTTTGTCACTGCAGCAGTATTTTATATAAATTATCATGAATCATCTCTGTCAGTGAACTTTGAGAGGATTGAACGTATGAGGTGGTTGTTCTGTATTTTTATGCCTCTGTCCGTCCGTCTCATTCTCGTGGACACGATATCTCAGTAACGCCTTGAGGGAACTTCTTCAAATTTGGCACAAACCTTCACTAGGACTGAAGGAGGAACTGATTAGATTTTGGTGGTCAAAGGTCAAAGGTTAAGGTCACAGTGACCTTACAAAACACGTTTTTGAACATAACTCACAAACTCATTCACTAATTATGACACAATTTAACTCAAATGTCTTTAAGGATAAAATGAGGTGAGAACATTTTATATCCAAAAGGTCAAAGGTCATCTTCACTGTGTCATCATAATGTTCTGGTCATTATTCAACACTGTAACTCAGGAATTGGAGACTGTGAACATATTTCCTGATACTTGGCTGGTTGGCGGAGGGATACCACCGCGAGGAGGCGAATGTAGTTCTCCTCATGTTTCAACTTCCTGAGTTACAGCGTTGAATAAAGACCAGAAGTGTTTTTACAGAACATTATGATGTCACAGTTAAGTCGACCTTTGACCTTTTGGAAATAAAATGTCATTGCTTCATTTTGTTCTTAAATACATTTCAGTTAAATGAATGAATTTGTCTTATGGTCAAAAACGTTTTGTGACGTCACAGTGACAGAAGTGATGTAATTCCTTTTGGACTTTCCTGATATATCGCATTCACAAGAACGTGAGGTCACTGTGACCTTTGACCTTTGTCCTTTGTCTCCTAAATTCTAATCAGCTCATCTTTGAGTCCTCGTTAATGTTTGTGCAGAATTTGAAGAAGTTCCGTCACGATGTTGCTGAGACATCGTGTCCACGAGAATGAGACGGACCGGAGACACAGAAACAGAAGACATGGAGCTGGACGAGTTGATTTCAATGTGTGAACTGAACTTTGAACTGTTGTGATGTCATCGGTTCCTACCCAGCATAAATCTCACAAACCTCACAGACACAGAGTTTTTAAAGACTCCATTGTCATCCACTAACTATGAAAGCAGATCAGTGAGTCTCTGTTCTGCAGTGGGAGATCTGTTCCTTCATCACCGTGAACACACACTCACCGTCGCTCGTTGTCCGACAGTCTCCAACAAACACACTCTGCTTCCTCCTGTTTGTTTGACAAAAGCTGTTTTGGGAAATGACTGAACTCGGTCGGACCAACGGAGACGTGCAGGAAGTCGTCAGTATTCAGGGAGACGCCGGAGTCAGTGGTTAGAGAGAAAAGAGGAGAAACTGGAGGAGACTTGAACTGACCTCAGCTCCACTTCTTCTGTTACTGCGTCTCACACAATCACTTACACAATCACTCACCTGCCACACAGACCGTGAAATCACACGTCTGTCCCACTTTCACCTTTTTTTAATGACACGTCCAAAATGTCTCCGTTTGTAAAATCCAGTGTAAACACACACGAGGAACCTCAAACTAAACACTGACACACTGACGTCATTAAAAACCTACAGTGTGATGTCGCCATGTGAATCAGGCACCAATGAAATACTCAAATTCAAATCTAAAGCTTTATTGACGTGAGTGTAGTCAGATGCAATATTGTCAAAGCAGACTGCACAAGTGCATTTAAATTACATTGATACAACAGCTCAACAAAGTCAACAATAATTTGCAAAATAATAATAAACAATTAATAATAAATAAAAATATAAATATATATATAATAAAATACTCCCTTTCTTCACTTTCACTTTCTACTGCTGCTTAAATGTCAACATCACAGACCGTAAATAAAGATGGACGTCGCCTCTGTGACATCACCCACAGGTTTCTGAAGCTCAAAGTGAGCTGCTTCACCGTCACAATCTTGGCAGTGTCTGACTCCGCCCCCTAACTTCCAGCTAATCCAAATATGGTCAAAGAGCAGGAGTGTGTTTGGAGCTGACATGTTTTGAAAATGTTCTCCCACATTAAACTGACTTGGTGTCTCAGACATTTCTTGATGAGGTGGACCTGTTACTGAAAGTGACACACGAGTCCGAGGCGTCATGGCGGCAGAAAAACACAGATTGGGAGTCGTTGTAAAGTAAATACAGCAACACCGGAAGCATTGTCAGTCAAATCCACGAATCAAGGAAGACTGTCGTCGCTCATAAGATCTCTGTCTGTCGACTCTGCACGTCCAGACTGAATCGCAACCAAAAGTCTCCGTTGTTGGCGCTCGAAAGCTCAGGAGTAATGTGGACGCCAGGACTCTCTCCATGGGAGTTAACCCCCATCCACACTGTGGTGGACCAGATGTTTTCCTGGACCAGTCTGGAGGGCTTCAGTCCAGCAGCGTGTTTCTGTCACTGATTTTTACACATTTCATCCTCCCATCTTCCTGTTTCCCAGCTCTCCCTCTGTTCTGCTGCTCCCTGAGTTTGTTTTCATTTGTGTCTCCATTTGTCATCGTGATATCTCTTTTCTTTCTCCTCCGGGCTGATATAATATTTAAAATTCCCCTGGGGTTTTTTGTTTTTATCTCCCAGACACACTTTTCAATTTCCTCTCCTGTTTTATTTCCTGGCTGATGGATCCAGACTGAGGCTCCGCCCCTCTGTGAGTCAGACTGGAGACAGTGTTGTGGGTCCAGGTCCGATGTCCACAGACGAAGAGTAAACTCCTCCTCCTCCTCAGCGGGGTTTGTTTTTTTTGCAGATGAACAATGAGCAGTGGAAGCACTTAAAGCTTTTAAAGTGTGGAGACGTGTCACATGAATATTACATGACCGAAGCGTGTCGTACCGAGGAACACGTGACAGAACACGGCACATGAACACGAATCCTCCGAGGCTTCTACAGATCCACAACACACATGAACAGGTCTGATGTCAGGTGTGATTGTTTGTCAGAACATCTGCAGCGTCCCGGACAACGAGAGAGACGAAGCTGTTTTCTACCTTTAAAACAACATGAAGCTTTATAACGAGGTTGTAGCTTCTAACTCAATCTCTGTGGTTTGGTTCAGATCTTTATTTCAGACGTGTTAAAGCGGGAAAAATCCCTCCGTCCACTTCCTGCTCAGGTAAAGAACCAGGTGTTTCCCTCAGGAGCTGCTGGAGACAAAACACGGAGCAAAAAGAGCGGGAACGCCGGACTTCCCTTCAAACTGCTTCATCCTGCAGCAGGACAGCGAGTCCAAACACAGCCAGAGTGTCAAAGATCTTCAGAGACCAGAAGAGCCAGGAGTCCTGGTCCAGATTTTGGGGGTCAAAGGCCAAAGGTCGTGGTGACCCCACAAAAGGTGGTTTTGGCTTTCTGAACACAATATCTCTGAAACACCTTCAAGGAACTTTGGCAAAAACATTCATCTGGACTCAAGGATGAAAATAATTAGATTTTGGGGGTCAAAGGTCAAAGGTCAAGGCCGCCTTGGTACACTTTTTAGCTGTTACTCAAG